CATGATCCATGCACCTTGCCGATGGGCGTTCCCTTTCATGGGCACCATGTACGTAGTCACATTAGTGTGTTTTTGTTTTTTGTTTTGGACCGTGCTAATTTTCTACCGTACTAAAGTTAAGCGACATATCCGAACGCATGCATGCGCACATGCAGATATTACTAGCTTCGGTGTTGTTTCCTTTACTATATGTCGTGTTCATCAGATTTACTTAATTACATGCATGCAAAAAAAATAAAAATGATGATGTCAGCAGATTCTTTTTTAAAACAAAAAATTTAAAATGTTTTGTAACTCAAACCGTCTGTCGGATTGAAAAACTATATTTACATAAAATATTTGTCGTGACGAGACCTTCGAAACTAGATCCCATGTCGACGTGTTCCAGCGCCATTTTTTTAAGGTCAAAAGTTACCAGGCATGTAGTACGTAAGTTATCACGTCTGCGACACTTATGTTACCAAGTTGTTTTCATAGAAATTAACGGACATGATAAATGGTCTTTCAACCTTTCTTCCCATGTGCACATGCATGCATGCACTAGATAACAAAATGCTGGGGTCATCCTAGATTCTCCCTATTTTGAAACGTCAAAATGTTTTGTAGTTCAAATCATCACTTTGATTGAGAAACTATTTTCACATAAAAGACTTGTCGCAACGAGATCTTTAAAACTAGATCCCATATTGGTATGTTCTGATGACTTTTTTCTCGGGTAAAAAGTTATTATGCATGTGATATGCAAGTTATCATGCCAGTTAAGCATAAGTTATTATGTTGTTTACACAGAATATATCGAGACAATAAAAAAATAGTTTCTTCGACCTCCTCCCCACATGCACATTCACGCATGCCCTAAAGGACGAAAAGTGCTAATCACATGGAAGATTCCATCCAAAATTCAAAAAACTGAAAATGTTTCGTAACTCAAACCGTCGTTCCGATAAAAAATCATTTTCACATAAAAGGATTTATTGTGACGATTAGAAACTAGATCTCATATTGGTATGTTTCGACAACGCCTGGGCTAACTAAGTTATCAACTTTGTTGTGTGTATGTTATCATGATATTCAACACACAAGTTACTGAAGTGTGTTTTTCAACAAGTCCGCCCTCCCGGTCAAAAGTTATCACACCTGGACTAAGTAAGTTATCAACCCAATTGTGCATATACTACCATGTTATTTACACATGAGTTATCGGGATCAAAATTATCACCGCCTTTATACGCAAGTTATCATCGGGTCCGCAGTTGCGTAATTTACCATGTAATTCACACAAAAATGACCAGGCACATATTTCTTCAACTTTAATTTCCTGGGTCAAAAGTTATCAACGTGTTGCACATAAGTTATCAGGACTATGATTCATGAATTATCATACTATTCCCATAGAAGTTATCGGGGGTGTATAACTATAACCCCCACCCCCATCAAAGTTTTTTTTGAAGGCCCACCCCCATCAAAGTTACCAGAGTGTTTGGACGTAAATTATCAGGTGTTGATGCATAAATTACCATGCTCACACAGAACATACCAAGTTTTTTTTCGATGACTTTTTTTCAGGTAAAAATTACCATAGTTGTGCTATGTAATTTAACGCGTTTATAGTACTCCCTCCATTTTTATATACAAGGTCACAAACTCAAATTATAGGTACCAAAGTAAAATTTAATGCATACTTTACAAGCCAACTTTTTTTTCGTTTATTGGAATCGTTAATACGCAACATGCATGCAAGAAAACTGAGTGGAGGAAGTAGCTGGTGTTATTATGATTGCATGCATGCAAGTATTAAACAGGTTGCTAGTACGAGGAAATATCATTAATTCTTTCCTCGGTTACTGTTGATGGCCTTGTATTAATGCAAAACGTATATTCCATGGAGGGAGTACATTAAGTTATCATGATGTTTACCGAGAAAATTAGCAGGACATACAAAATGGTTACTCCAACCATCACGCCGAGACTTTTAATCTAGAAAAAGTTTAATGTCTTCTAAATAGAAAAAGGGAAATAAAATGTTCAAATAAGGGAAAGAAAATTTGGTTGAAAAAAACATTTTCTCACGTCACATCCAATGTGGTAAAAAAATACCCAACTGATCATATAAGAAAAATCTGGATACTATTAACAACAACTAATTGTGGGTGAGTTGGTTAGGTTGTTGCACCGCCTTTCTTTTTCTCCACACAGTAAAAAGTACGGGTAGGTATTTAGATTTCTCGTTTTGTTTTAGGCGCATGTTAAATAAAAATACTTTGTTTATGAAAAAAATCATTAACTACATACGGTGTTTATGTAATTCCGACTGTATGTTTGTGTCTCTTTACTACTTCATCATAGAAGCTAATCCAATAGGAGGCTACACCAGGTGATCTAATCTGGCAATGACTCGTGCCACGTTCGGCAAAATAAATTATCCCTACTAAAGATGTGTCATCGTGTATTCCCCTGTTTGTTCACATGCATCATCCTCTCATCTTTTTTTCCTACATCTATAATTTTTCATGCGATCATCTGGCATCCTAAAATAACAACACTTATTACAAAGAAGAAACATAATCCATATAACCGCACATTATCGATGGGCGCGGCGTGCCGGGGATAAGCTAGTACATACCATGATCCATGTCATCTATGTACATGAACCGGATACCAGCCGATCCTACAGGATGCATCATTATCGCGCGCTACAATTCTTCATGGGAGTGTTCGCTCTTGATAAATATTGAAAGATGGCAAATTGAATGATCTTGATTCTTCGATATCGTGTTCGTTCTATAGCAAAGTAGTACGTATGTCCCATTGCAATGCGTGATAAATATTAAAAGATGACGAAGAAGCGATGACCCTCCTGAGGCCTTGGCCTGATCAAGCTTTAAATTTAGGTGGTCCGATCGGACACACCTAAAAAAAGTGGCCCGATCGGACTCGTGCCCGAGTCCGGTTCGTCCCGCACTCGTTCCGGCCACGGCTCTTTATTAATAGGCCGCCACGACGCCTACCGCCGGGTTTTCTTCCACCATATATATACTCGAAAAACGTCCGTAACAATCGCCATGGCGTTAAATTCGGCGACAGTGGCTAACCCCCTCGGCCTCTGCCCCGCAGCCGCAGGCGCCCTCGTCTCCCCCACTGCCGCACGGAGCCGCCGCTCCAATTCCTACTCCTGCGTCCCTCGCCTCCAATTCACCAAGCGCAACAGATGCAGCGTGCTGAGGCTGTGCAGCGCACGCCCTAGCGCTCCGGCCCTCAACCAGTGGTGGGCGTCCGAGCTCACCCCGGAGGAGCTACCCACGGAGGAGACAGACGTGCCGACGACCGGGCACGGCAGGGAGGAGCTGGTGGCCATATGGAACGCCCTCGTCGCCGAGCCCTTCCGGCCCGTCCTGCTCGCCTTGCGCGAGATCAGGGACCGCGGCCACTTCTTCCGCTGCCGCAGCTACCACGCCGGGGTCGTCGCTGGTATGTACTTATGGACAGGTTTCTCCTTGGTTAATTTGTACAGGTTCTGATGCGAAAGCTTCATTGTATCTTCTTTTTTGTGCCAACCATCAAGCTGCTTTGTTCTGGGCAACGCAATTAGGAATCGGCTTGCAATGTAAAATCACTGATGTCCAACTACTTGACTCATCTTCTTGTCTTTAATATCCACTAAACAAAAGTCCAGTATTGCCTATTGTCCCATCCAATAAAATTTAGCACCATTGAATTTGCACGTACTGAATCTTTGCCCTTGCCAAATAAAATATGAATATTGCACCGTTGGTTCCTCTTATTCATGGGTTTTCTTCACACTATACTAGTTTGATTTCATCTTGATTTAATGTCAATTGAAGAAGTAGCAAACAGCCTACCACAAATTATCCGAGGAAGCATTGCACACAACTCAATTATGTTTTCTAATTATTTTGCAGGCCCGTTGTTGATGATTGCTGGTTTCTGCCAACTCCGTAAATTAGTACCAACCTTGTTCATGGATATAGTTCTTGGATATATATTCTACAAGTTGAGTGTTTTAGCAGCAGAACTGAAAAGAAATGGGAAGGCAAACCATACGTGTGCTCGTATACAGCTCGGTGAGTTTTGGAACTCAAACTATATCATTTGTATTTATAAAATGGAGAAAACAAATATATCAAAAATTTGTACTCTTGACCCGGAAACTGCCTTTGGTGACCGAGCTCACTGGAGGCCTCTAGATTCAAAATTCCAATTTCATTGAAATTCATATTTTTACATTTCAAAGAATTCTGAAGAAAAGTACAGATATACATGAAGGCCTAACACACATGTGTGTAAATTTTCAGGGCAAAATATGTTGAAACAAGGGCTGTGCAAAAAAGACAAATCTAGGGCTATTTAACACATGATACTATTTATCCTCCTAGGCCATGAATTTGCCTTTTTTGCACAGGTCGCATTTCAGCGTATTTCATCATGAAATTTTACACACGTGGTTACATCCTTACATACACGCATATTTTTTTCAGAATTTTTTGAAACATAAAAGTTTGAATTTGAATTTTTCAAAAATAAAGGTCTCCATGGAGCTCGGCCTCCAAAACGCCATTCTCCTCTTGACGCTAGTAAAAGATTTGTTAGTGCCTTGAGATTGGAACGAAAGAGTAGTCTTCTGTAACTCATTTGAAACTTTATGACATGAGCGGTTCCATAGAAACCATTCGGGGAGTGCAAGGCACCTGTCTCTTACAAAGCTCTTCTCTGTTTCTCAAAGTAAATATTATTTTGCATACTTGATTTTTTTCATGTGAAGTACTTGTGTTCCCCCCACACAAAAAATCTTGCTTGTTGTAGATTTCGTCCAACTGAACATAGAAAAGAATATTCTTATTTTAGCAATGCACATGTATATTCCTCTCGTGGTGATTATACACCTTTATGAATAACGGAGAAATTAATATGTGCCTTTTATTTCAAATGCAGTTCTCTTACTTATTTTGTCATTCAAGGATAACAGCGCTTTCCGGGTAAGTCTTTGTTAATTAAAGAGCAAGGGTGCCTAAACGTTAACGCAGTCGTGAACATATGGTTTACTGATGGCTTTCTGTGGTTTATGGTAGGACGTTTACCGCCTCGTCACGGAATTGATTTGGTTAGTATTTTGGTGTAAAACTATTATTGCTATGTTGTTCCATACTAAACAAATAATCCTCTCTAAATAATTATCTGTTCATCTCAGGCTCATTTGTTTGGAAGTGTACGTGGCTGCAGTGACCTTTGAAATTGTGGACGAGGAGGATCCCAGACACGAAATGCTAGGAATTTATAAGATACTAACAACCAAAGGTGGCCTGATGAGGGTGAAATTCGATAGATGAGTAGTGTTAGTAAAGTTGACATAATTGACAACAACTCTCCTTTTCTTTTACCAGACTCGGTTATATCTTTGTCATGCATTTTATTTTGTTCTAGTGATTAAAACGACAATTATCATGGTCTATAGCTTGCTATGTTATACATCAGCATGATGTGTTCGACAAAATTACCCACATCTGCCATGCTACTTTTAATTAACAATGTGGAGGACCCGAAAGTCCCGTTGACACAACACTGCAAAAAAAGACCCCAAAAGAAATATAAATTACAACCAGATCCTTCCTTTTTGCAACCCAGACCCCAAAGATGCCACTATAATGCAATCTCGCCTGACACAAACAACCACTTCGTCAGAGACACACTGGCCACCGCCTCCAACCAACACCTTACCAACAATGGAAACGTTGAAGAAGACACACTCGAAACTTCTATTGAGGCCCTACCAACGTGTAACGCCCCAGGCACACCCACCAGTTACTGGTTGTTACTCCTGGCGGGATGTAGACTAACCCCACATATCAACACTAGTCTTTCATGTGTACTTTGTCCTCACTCGCGCACACCTGGGACCAACTTACTAGTCGTTCACTCATCCTGAAATTGCTCCAAGTTGAGCATGCTTAACTTTGGAGTTCTTTTCGAATGGGCTCTCGAAAAAAATGAATTCCTCATTGATATGAGTAGTCTATCATCTGGCGCCTGACATTGATGTCATCCTAAACAAACTTTGTCAAAGGGCCTGAACCTAATTCACAACAGAGGACCCCGAAACCCTACTCCGCCCGTCTGCACTACGTACAATAGAAGGAAGACCCAATGGAGGAGAGAGGCTGAGGGGCTATTGATCATATGGCCTGTCTACAAAACTCACTTAAAAATAGACCATGGGTGATCAGTAGGAGTAGCCCGGTCTATGCCGTCAGGTCAAACACTGGACTAGGGTTGGATTAACGAGTTTCTCGGGTCGTTAAGCTTAACAAGAAGAAAAACAATCTGATCAACTTTGTTCGTTTGAAGCTCGTGAGCACTCATGATTACTTGTTAACATGAATTACCACCTTTTGCTTCAATCATGATGTGTCTTTTCATGAAGGAAGATAATAACCACACGAGGTATGCTAGTTGTTGTCTCCTATGAGCTGGGTTGGTCAGTTAGATTGAATTGATGTGCCACAAAATGTTGCCACTGAACATACAAAATGTGGAGTGTTGTATTAATGAGCTGCTTGTGAAACTCATTAGAGTGTTCATTAAGCTTGGTAAGTTTAATGAGTTGAATGATTGGCTTTGTTCATAAAGAAGCGAGGTACAGGCATATAGCACCTCCTGTGTGCGAACAAAGAAAAAGGGCTACCCAACCAGACCCCCAAAATGATGATGATATGTCTGGGCTGTTCGCGAACCTTTAAATCCAATCCATATGGGGGAGGAAATGAGGATGCCGAGGCAGTCTGCCATGTCAGACACAGCCCACATGGGACCACTTTATCTATTTCTTTTCTATTTTTGTCCCACCATCTCCACCAACCATTTGCATGTGTCCGAACAATTTGAGAGGACACGACTGCATGCACAAACAAATGAGGATTCAAAGCGCATACACCCGTATAGGTCCGTGGACATTTAGAGGGTCAAATTTGGCAAATCCGATTGAGGATGCTCTTATCGAGCCAAGTTACTGAGCGTTTCATTAAGCTCACAAACTACAAGCTTTTGGTCGGCCCCTACTCTTGACCCATTTGACAGTTTGACCTGATCGAACGTCCAATTGATTTTAGGTGACCCGGTCGGACTCTTGTTCTCTCCGCAAGCTGTCGAGAATAAGCACAAGAGACATGTCATCGTGCTCGAGAGACACGCAGACTCATTGATGAAGCCCTCAAGAGGGTCATGTTGCAAAGCACCGCTGCTGCCACGTCAGCCCGAGGCAAACTAAGGTTTTCCACACTGAGTTTCAAAATGTAGGGGAAGGATCAAACCTACTCCCCAAGAGGAACGGGGCACCCATGCTATAAGACAGTATCCATGCCAATTATTGTCCACGTGACATGCAAAATGACAAGGTTTGATCATCACAGACCTCTTCCGTCAAATCGTGCTTGCATCATGGTGGATCAAACATTTTCAAAAGCAAACGACAACCAAACACTTTCCTTTTCTTGTGAGACATTTTTACCTCACTAATACGCCCACAATAAGACCACTCGACAAATTCCACTTTCTATTGACCAACATTTGTGTTGGATATTTTTTTATTAAAAATGCAAAGAAAACACAAATAGTGACTAAATACAACCAAATGAGAAGTATGCAAAACATCTATAATGTGTTGCCTACATCATGGAGAACTAGTATACACAACTTGGAATGTTATTCTCAAAAGATGCTTCAAAAAGGTCCTAGATATGAGTTGTTAGAAGAGTAAACGGGAGTCCACATCATCACTTGGCAAGTTCAAATGTGAGGTTAAACTTGTGATCAATTGAATAAGACATGATCCTTGATCACTATTGTCCATGTTAAGGATGTCAATTTTATCCATGGACATGGATACCCATGAATATCCTACCCGAATGGATAGGGTCTGCATATGCTTTTGTGCCCATGGGCGGCACCCAAACCCGACCCAATTGCTCGCAGGTAGGGCATGGATATAATCTTGTACCCATGGGTATACCCAAACCTGACCCGATAATAAGCATTAATGGGCAAAAATCTGCTATCCCTACCCCACAGTCACATGTCCCGCTGCAATTTTACATGTTGTTATGTAAAACATGCAAAAGAAATTGCACAATCCCCGCCATAACTTTTATTAGTTGACATTCCATCCCCACTAACATACTCCAGCGCACCATCCCTTATTCCATCTCCTAGTTAAATGACTCGTCATTCTCATCTTTTAGAAAAATACTAAATGATATTAGGTTATTAGTGGACGTTGATTTGCCATAAGTTGATGTTTACAATAAGTGAAGCCTAGCTTGCCACGAGGTGAAGAATGGAAGAGATTATGTTAACATTGTGTAATGTCTTATTTATATGTCTTGAGAGGACCCAATAGATATTTGATGGGTATGGATATCCATCGGGTTTGGACATGGACACAATTGTTCACCCATGGATTTTTTTCATTGGCGGCTGTAAGGGCATATTTTTCCCCAAGGTGTTTTGGTGATTAATGACAATGCTTGTGCGGACTAATCGTGTGCGTTAAGTTCTTTCAGAGATTCATCCATTGGCACGAGACGATTACCTCCCTTTGGTGTTTTATTCAAGACGGTGTAGCTCCTTCGTTTAATTGTTGGTGGTCTAGTTTCATAGGAGTCACCGTACTATCAAGAGGGGATCCGCTTTGATAAGACTAGGGTGGAATCAACACGTACACATCCATATCACCCGTCGTTTTTCCTTCCGCTTCGTTGGAGCTGCCCTACTTCCCTTGAGTATGCCTTGTCCTGCCCCAGCGGTAGTACCGCGGTCCACAGCGGTAGTACCGCCGAAGCACCCCAGCGGTAGTACCGCTCCCAGAGCGGTAGTACCGCTCCCAAGCGGTAGTACCGCTTGTGGTCTTCGGCCGTAGTACCGCAGTGCTTCCGGGCTACTGCCGCCTTGATTCGAGAACGGAGTTTTTCGTGTCGGGTTTTGCGGTACTAAGGGCGGTAGTAGTGGCGGTAGTACCGCTCCAAGTGGTAGTACCGCGCCTACCCCCACGGTAGTACCGCCCTGGGGTCAGGGCCCTGTCAGTGCGGCAGTACCACTGGGTATGAGCGGTAGTACCGCGCTAAGCGGTAGTACCGCCCTTCCCTAGCGGTAGTACCGCTCTGTGCGGGGCTGCTCAGTGGAATAATGGTTGGATTGAGCCCCCCACTATATAAAGGGGTCTTCTTCCCCAAAGTTGACCCACCTCTTTCCCCCAAAAGCTCCATTGTTGCTCCAAGCTCCATTTTCACCCGATCTCTCTCCCTAGCCAATCAAACTTGTTGATTCGCTCAGGATTGGTTGAGAAGGCCCAGATCTACATTTCCACCAAGAGAAATTTGATTTCTCCCACTTATCCCTAGCGGTTCTTGTTACTCTTGGGTGTTGAGCACCCTAGACGGTTGAGGTCACCTCGAAGCCATACTCCATTGTGGTGAAGCTCCGTGGTGTTGTTGGGAGCCTCCAAGTGTTGTGGAGATAGCCCCAATCTTGTTTGTAAAGGTCCGGTTGCCGCCTTCAAGGGCTCTAATAGTGGAATCACGGCATCTCGTATTGTGTGAGGGCGTGAGGAGATTACGGTGGCCCTAGTGGCTTCTTGGGGAGCATTGTGCCTCCACACCGCTCTAACGGAGACGTACTTCCCTTTAAAAGGAAGGAACTTCGGTAACACATCCTCGTCTCCACCGGCTCCACTCTTGGTTATCTTGTCCCTTTACTTTTGCAAGCTTACTTGAGTTGTATCTATTTCTTGCTTGTGTGCTTATTGTCTTTGCATCATATAGGTTGTCCACGTAGTTGCACATCTAGACAACCTATTTCATTGCAAGGTTTAAATTGTTAAAGAAAAGTCTAAAATTTGCTAGTTGCCTATTCCCCCCCCCTCTAGTCAACCATATCGATCCTTTCAATAGGTATCAGAGCCTCGTCTCTTTATTAAGGACTTTGCCATCCGAAGAGTATGGTTGACACCCACGACGGTGTGGAGGAGCACTCCGGTGTGAATCCCATCTCGTCCACGGCCGAAGGGGAACCTCGGTTTCACGTGAGGAATTCAATGTGGCTTTAGACACATTGAAAACCTCCATGACGGCCGAGGTTAAAAGCATGTTTTCTGAATTCCCAGACGGACTTAAACTATCTACCTCGCCGATGAAAGTGGGTGATCCCACTAACAAGGTGACGGATGCTACCTCCGACAAGGGGGAAGCTACCAGTGAAAAGAGTCCGTCTACTAGTGGTAGAAATGGCACCTGCATCTTTGCCAATGTGGAACCCCCAGTGTATAGAGGACCGATCCCCT